AGGTTGTTTTTCAAAATACAACATCATCAAATGAAAATCTGAACATTCTTACCTTTGCGACAAAATATTATATTCCTGGAAAAATTTCACAGAACTTTCTTCGTTTGCAGACAAATCTCACATACGATTATTTCAAAATTCAGCTGAAGACCAAAAATACCGAAATTTGTCTTCAGGGCTACTAAAGCAACCAACACAGCATGAACGATAATGGCGACGTTGTTTATTCAAACTTTACAGTTATCCTTATGGTTACCTGAACAATTGTTATGCTCATAATTGCTACAGTGCCGCGACTTCTATCTACCAATGTGGCTGCGGTAACACCAGAGTAACGATTGCTGTTTTATGTAATTCTTAGTAGGACCACAGTTTTTTCGTGCCTGGCAAAAAAATTAGTCGCCAACGGTTGGCGCCTTTTCGAGAAACGATTATAAATAGTAACTTTTTTTCAGGCAGTACATTAAGAAAAAAATTAGTCTTAAAATTCATTTAAAAAATAAACACCAGAGAAATATTAAAGTGAAATATTTTATGTATATTGGGTAATATTGAACATTAAATTTAATTAAATAATATACGTAGAAAATATATATAATATAAATATATTATGCTATATATAAATCTAATATATATCTATAATAAATAAATAAATTATAAATATATTATGCACGTAACTATATCGCAAAGGTATGTAAAGCACAAAATTTTTCAGAATGTTTCATCGTGCCTTTTCATCGCTCTTCCACATCCCATAATCGTTTTGCTTAGAGGGAAATTTATTTGTACGCTTTAATTTTCGAATTCAGTCTAGGAAATGCATATTTTCGATTTCGTAATATAAACTGATAAAATTACAATGTTATTTTCAGATATAAATCTGCTTTCTGACAGTTGCTAATGCTCAAGTTTAAACTGTCTCGGAAAGACATTTTATTTAGCGACAGGTTAAATAACAAATTACATTTATAAATCTACTTATCGTATACAGTGTTCTCAGATACTCTAACATTATATGCGTAAGTATTTGCGTGTGCTATGAACGAACAGATCCCTTGAGAATATTCACCAGAGGCTATCAAACTTTACATATCCTTCTCGCCAAGAGTAGTCAGTAACATTTAATTGCTCAAACGTTCACTTTCCTCGTAGTATTTAAGCAAGCGTGTAATTGCATTTAAACCTACGTTCAGGATGTGTAATTTGTTGCGTGCTTGAGGCTAGTTGTCCATGCTGCTGCTTAAGTAATTAATACAGATTTCTGCTGCGATGAAGAAGGATTTCATACGCATAAAATAAATTACGTACAGTCCACTGAGACAGAGAAAATTCTTTGAAGTCCACTGAGAGAAAGTTCAGTGAAGTGTTTGCATCTTTAAGATAAAGCTGGCATATTAGAAGAAAACGCTTTAAATTTCAAATATTACTTCTACAGTAGGACCACATTTACCGAAAAGACTGGGGTAATTCAGTTTGGATAACTTGCTTTTATACAAAATAGAAATGGTTCACTTCCTCACTTATTTCGTTTGACAATATTATTGTTTATGAATGGGTTTAGAATAATGCAAACTCTCAAATTTCAGATTCAAACTTTCCGCGAGGAAAAAAGCATTATAGCTGGTTTTGTTTGGACGGTTTCGTCTGGTTTATGTGATTACGACAAAGCCTCGAAGGCTATCTGTCTAAGGGGAGGGATGCTTTCGTGGAGGCCTCTCTAAGGAAAACACTGGATCGTATACACGTTACACATGGGAAAACCGCGAAGACGCCCATGCAGGCAGCTCGTACGCGGGATTCGAACCTTGAACCGAACTACCAGTGTTCAGTGATTTTACCGCTCGGCCGCTGGCGGGCTACAACTGGTTTTAGTTTTCACTTCATAGGTTATTCGGTTCAAGAGGATTTAAAGGATAAGCAAAATGATGTTGAAGGTTTACCAAGTTTTTACCATTGGTTTTGATTTGTCTTATTTCATAGTGGTAAAACATACGAGGGCTATCTGCCTAAGGCAAAGGGGGGACTTCCTAAGTAAAAGAAGATCGTATCTACGCTATATATGAGGAAAACCACGGAAGAAACATGCAACCAGTCCGATTGCTTGGAATAGAAACCATATCGAACTACCAGGGTTCAGCGACCGCCCGCCGGCTGGCCTGAAGCTTTTACAATATTTAATTTGTCACTTCATTTAGCTGTGCTTTTCAGGCTGTTGCTTTGTTAGGTTAATATTCGATTCCTTTGCGTATCATTATCTTCAAGTGAAAGAAATAATGTATATAATAATGATACCACATTTATTGGAAAATCTATATTTCCTTTTTTTGCTATATTTTTGTTTTAAAATTTTGTAGGAATTTTATAAACGGGTCATTTAAAAAATGAAATTGTAGAATGAGAAAAGTAATTTAAGTATCCTGTTATATAGAAGAATCACGCTGTTTAAGTGGTAATTGATTAACAAATTATTAGCTTTTCTATTAACTACATAACTACGGCTAATTACAATACACACATTTAGTTGAGTGGTTTAAATTTAGGCCTGCATCTACTGTACCGAGGTGCCTGGTCACAAACAGGTTAAAAAAGGTAACTAATGTTTGCTAATTTTTCTTTCGATGCCCTGTAAAATATCGTATCTAATTAGGAAGCTTACTTTTTATTCTAATGAGCATCAAATGGATTCCAATCATTATTATGATCTTATTAAATATCCACCTATATTTTTATTTCTTAAACTTTATCCTAAACTGCAAGGATGATCTTATATTCGAAAGGAGCTTATTTTTGAATAAATTAGATAAACTGCTTACTTTTTTTATTAAGTCATAGTGTTGTGTCAAGGCGCCGTGCATAAAAGATACAGTCGAATTCGATTCTAATGAATGTGTCCAAAATAACAAAAAATATTCATTAAATACAGATTATTGCTGAAATCAGAAGCTATTAAAGTAGACATAAAATTATCAATAAAAATAAAATAAATAGACAAATAAATAAAAATTTGCATTCACATCGACATCTTTTAGATAAAAAGGTGAACGACAAAATTCATTTAAAGTTTATTTAAATATGATTAATTTTTGTGCCGAAAAACAAATATGATAATAAAATCTGTGCTTCTTTTAGGGACTTCATTTTTCAAATTTTTCTATAAAATTCTTAAAATAATTAGGATCGTTGGACGGGAACATTGGTCGGGATTTGAATTTGATTAATTCATCCTAATAGTCAATACAGGATCCCCTGCTTGCTTAACTGTCTTCATATTGCATACCGAAGGTCCACAAAGTTGTTAGATAAATAATGGGGAAATGGAAAAAATGTGGGAAATTTCACTCAACTCCGTGGCAATCTTTTCTTCTTAGTTGTTTGTTATAGTTGCTAATCGCATTACGTTCCCTACTGAAAAAAAAAAAAATCCAACTTTGAAAAATCCGTTATTGTTAGTTTCTACTTCACTTCATTTTAGAAAATTTGGACAAACCTCACGATACCAGAAACATTAGATTTAAGCGTCAAAGTATGAGATTTCGTTTCCAAATAATTCAATATTTGTATAACCAGCAGTTTTTCCTAACTTCAATTGAGATATATGCATATCTGGAATCTAAAGTACTTTTGAAGAATTTGGAGGAAATAAAGCATTCTCCTAATAGGGGGACCGGAAAGTAATGTCGCTTTCTTACATTAAATCCAAACGAATACATTTTTTAAATAAGTTTTGATTTTTAATCAATAATATAATCACCCTCGTTATCAACAACCTTTTTGCCATTTAATGTGCAGATTTTCAATCCCGGGCCGATAAAAATCAATTGGTTTTTGAGTAAAATATCTCGAGAGGACATTTTGGACATCATCCAAATTTTCAAATTTTTTGCCCCTAAGAAAATGTTGTAGAGATCCGAATAAATGGAAATCCAATGCTGCGATATCGGCCGAGTATGGTGGGTGAGTATGGCAGTACCTCCCACCCCAATTCATTAATTTTTTCCAGTGTTCGTCTTGCACAATGCGGTCTTGCAGTGTCGTGTTGCAGAATGACAACATTTCTGTTGACAATTGATATTTTTCGATTAAAGATTGGTTCACTCCATCCAGTTGTTCACAATAAAGATTTGCATTAACAGTTTGTCTAGGTTTCAGCAATTCAAAAGGAACAATTCTTCGAATATTCCCTCAAACACCCAGAAGCGCCTTTTCGGGATGTAAACCCTTTGTAACCCCTATTAAAACTGCCTTTTGAGTTTTGGAGTATCATATAGGACGTATTTTTTTGTCTCCACTAATCAAACGATTAAAAAAAACGGTTCTGTATAGTGCCGTTGAAGCAATACGTTGCATGTGATGGATAGGTTGGCTTTGTTCTTTTCGAACAGATTATGGGGGACTTAACACCTGCCTTGCTAATTTTTCCATTCTGCTTAAAATGTTCTTGAATGTTCGACGAAGGTGGTTCAAGAGTTTTTGACATGGATTTGCTTCCACTTCTGCCCTTAGCATGTTGTTGTCGACATGCGCAGAAACGACATTACTTTCCGGTCCCCTATTACATCATTGTTTGAAACGATGATAATTTCTGCATGCATATGACAAAATTCTGTTGAAGCGATTCGTATGAAATTTCAAAGATAGCAACTAAATTGCTCATTCTTTAAGAGAAAGCTCTTTAAAGAATTGAAAATTGGGAATTTTTGGTCACTTTACTAAAGACGAATAAAAGTTTCGGTAATTCTAAAAATTTTTTAAAAACTTTTGTTGCAAAAAAATAAAAGAAAACTGAATAAATCGAGAAGCATTAAATCAATATTCTTTCAATCGGAACTCGACTGTATATTTTAAGTGAAATGTTACATGTTGAACTTAAGAACGTTTCTGCAAACATCACTATTTGAATTTGTGAATTTCTTATACTAAATAAATATAGTATCTATATATTTGATAAACATTTTACTATAGAATATGCAAACAAAAACTGTCTTTAGGAAAATACTCACAACATGGTATCTTCAGGAAAGCTGTTTCTGACGCTGGCGTATACGATAATGATAACGAGAGGCGTACCTGAAACAGAAAATTTGCTTTCATACCCAAGAAAACAAAATCAATGAAAAACAGTAGACTAGCTAGAGGAAAATGATGATTTATAATTTATTGCCGATACTCTACATACCGAAATGTTTTAATCATTTCTAAGGGATTATAATATGCAAAGTTTCGTAGAATTCACATCTAAATATATGACAGAAAAGCACCAATTAAGTATTTTAGTTCAATAATTCTCAACCTACACTTAAAACTATTAACATTAAGGAAACTTTCGACAACTCATTACACTACAATTATTTAACTCAAGTCAAAACCATTTCCTATAAAAAAGGATGGTGTGAAAGTTCCATAAATTTTCATGAAGTGCTTTCGAATTAGAATCTCGATGATTCTGGAATCTTTATTACCACTTCTTTTCAAGAGAAAAATAATTAAGAAATGTAAAGTAAAAAAAAAATCTCAATACACACTAAGCTGCGACAGACAAAGCCGTTACTTTTATCCTTTTTACTTTGGAATCTGTAAGAGTATTTTATGCTTAGTGTATTGATACGCGATCTGCTATACTTTACACTGCGTTTCCCCAAATCGTATTTTCTTTCAATTAATGCCCGTTTTATTTGCATAAATAATCATCTGATTCCCTTACCCTTTCTAAAAGTGGGCCACTAAACTAAAGATTTTCAATTTTTGTTATAATTAGCAAGTCATATTGATGTACTGTATATTTTCCAGTTTCCATCGCTGGTTGGCTGGAGCGAAATTAAAATTTATTGCTTTGTAACAGAATTTTACAAATGCTTTAATACATTTTAACATTGTTTTTGTTTCGTTTTATTATGTACTTGTTATATATAGCCCATCAGGTTTCGTTATATTGTTTTGCTTTTGTATACATATAAGGCATTTTCTCTCTTCTTACTGTCTGCCTTCGTGGTATAACAGAAAAGCATGTTGGTTGGCAGTCGAAAGGTGATTCGAATTCGGGTCAGGACAATGCTGATCTATCATGTGCCACTAATTAAAAAAAAACAACTCTAAAAGAGTCTATATGTGGCGTCCGAACTAAAATGTGACATATTTCACTTCGAAAAAAATTGAGAAGTTCTGGAACGGAATATTGGCTGAATTCAAGCCCTGATCTAAGCGAGATTTTTCATGATTAAAATATATACTAATAACACACTGAACGTGTTAAATTCATAACTTACAGCTGATCATAGATAAAAGAAAACTTTTTTAACATCATAAACTATTAATTAGTGAGTTTTCTTGCATTATGCAGTTTGAGCATATCTCGGGGTTTTACCTTTACATTTATGTTATATGCCAGCTAAACTTTTAAACAATTTTTAAGTATGTTTTATTTTTCAAAGAACGGTAAAAATGGGAATATAACTGAATAAAGTAATCTGTTGTATTTCCAGTTATGCTTCAAATTTCGAAAAATGATTTACTAATACTACAGATTCAAAATGCTATTTTACGGAATTTTGAAAGAAGCGCAAAAATAAAAATAAACATCTTTAAAATAAGCCAACTGTAAATAAAAAAACTTAAAAACAAAAATAAACAACTTGAAACTTAAACGTAAATTTGATGCATAAAACCAGCCTTAACTGTTCCGATGTTGCGTTGCCTAAAACATAATAAGAGATTGCGCTAAATTCCTTGTTAGAAAAGAAACACTCCTTTCTTCCAGTACACAAAAATACAGGTTCCCTAACCCCCCGTCCAAGATGTGGCAATAGATAGAAATTCCCTTTATTTTATTTTTTAAATTAAATTGTTTTAATTAATTTATTTTTTATGCTTTTTAAATACATTAATTCACTATGGATCTGAATGCTGCTGCAATTTTTTCACCATAATTGATGTGTACGCATTTAGTTATTTATTTTTATTTTATTATTTTAATGGCTAGATTCAGGTGGACTGTGTAATGGATTTAAATGTTTTATTTTTCAGTTGTTGCGACTTCTAACCAGTTGTTGCAACTAATTACCAGTTATTACCAGTCGTTGCGACTTCCTAACGCATAACTAGATTAGGTTTTGAACTTTTCTTATGTTTTTATTGATGTATGTATAAATTAAAGCATTTAAGCTAGATTTTTTTCTCTCTCTCTTTCTCTCTCTCTATATATATATATATATACCCTTTCGCAAAAAAATCGAAGCACCAAGAAGGACTTTTGAAATCATGACAAAAATTGGTATGCAAAAACATCTTGATCGAAAATGCAAAGGATCAAAGTTTCAAGGCAAATGAACAGGAATTGCAATCATAGCGCGCATTTCTTAGTGCGCAATTCGCAATGTATAAATCCAGTAAAAGAGGCGGAATACATTGCGTCCGTAAAGTCATGGTGCACTTTTGATCGGTCACAGGAAAGCAACAAAACAAGATAGAAATTTAAAGTCTTCAAAACTCTTCAAGTTTCCGTCGTTTTATGTGCAAGCATGTGCGCACACAGGTGATGACGCAGCACCGCGAACTGCAAAAGAGCAGATCAGCCCATCCACGCCCACGCCAGTCGAGATGTGGACTGTACAGAGGAAAGTTCAGTATGCTCTGTACTTACCAAAGTCGAATCCGTGATCAAAGTGCAACGTGAATATCGTCACGTGTACAACGAACCGCCAGCGCATAGAAATAACATTAATCGGAGGGATAAGCAGTTGAAGGATACCGGCAGTTTGTTGGACAAACCTAGTTTTGGCAGGCCATCAGTCAATGACGAGTCTGTAAAGGCTATATAGGAGTGTTACCTTACAAAACGCCCTTACAAATTGCAGCTGTTGCATGCTATCAAACCGACGAAATAGAGTCAAACGATTTGGGTTTGATACAGATATGCTTCATGAAGTCGACAGTTATAACCGATTTCTGCAGAAGATTGTGTTTAGCGATGAGGCGACATTCCCTGTTAGTGGACATGTTCATCACCATAACATCCGAATATGGGCTGCTGAAAATCCTCATGCCTACGTAGAGTACGAATGTAACAGCCCTAAAGTGAACGTGTGGTGTGACCTGATGCATGATAAAGTGATAGGAGCATTTTTATTTGCGGAGTAGACTGCGACGGCATGAATGGAGCTCACATCAAACTGCACTGAACAGATATGAAACTTTAAGAGGTTTTCTTTTGTTTGGTGAAGATTTCACATTTCTATCTTGTTTTGTTGCTTTCCTGTGACCGATCAAAAGTGCACCATGACTTTACGGACGCACTGTAGTATAGCTAGTTTAAATGCTTTAATTTATGTGTATAAAGTACAAAATGCGATTTGAAAAGAATGTCATGCAAGCATGACTACGTGAAACAAAAATAAATCTTAGTTGATGCCGTTCAACTATAATTCTACAAATGCTCAACACAGGCAAGATCTCAAAATGCGTCTTTTGTACCGCATTGCACTGGTGGTTAGGTTCTCTAATCACTGGAGATAAAAGTGGGTGTCGTACATGAATATTGCACGTGCATTTACAAAAAATTAAGATGAGAAGTCCAGCTTCTCTTCTTTTTTTCTTCTCTACTCATCACAAAAGCGACAGATTTCACGATGAGCCCAGAAAATAATCATTTTTATGACTCCTATTTTGTCACGCTTTCTTGCTCATTTTGGTTTATTGCTCATCATATTGCAATGTAAGCAACACGCATATAATACTATGTAAACTAAACTACGTAAACGGCATATAATGTTTTGACAATAAATCCTTGTAAGCAAAAGTCGAAGAAATTTGCAAGATGTTCCTAAGTCAAGTCAATAACACTAGAAGGCTTCAAAAATCAAATTTAAAAACGTAAGCATGCTAAGCTGAAAACAAAACAATATAATTTCCCTCCTGAGAATAATGCAAGGAGATATAAATAAATCATGTTCATTGGAAGAAATTTCAATTTCGAAGAGAATCGATACCGATGTTTTTCCAGCAAAATAAAACATGCTTCAAAAATAAACTCATGTTGCTCATTTTTTAAATCGAATAATTTATTTTTCAGAGGTCACATTACTTTATCAAAATGGTGTTATTCCAGAGTTATTTTCTAAATGTATTTCGAAACATGTTTCTTTACTTCTCATCGAGACGCACGCTTTGATTTCATAAAGCGAAATATCTGCCTTTTAGTCCTTCGGGAATACTTCGAGCAACTCATCTAAAACAACAATACGTGATTTGGGATAGATTTTATGAATATTTCTGCATGAAATATTTCCTGTGAATGAGCAAAAGCTATGTCTGAATATTTAAGTTTATAAGAGGAAGTTTATTTAAGACAGCTGCATTTTTCTAGAATGACACTAAACTGCTTTGTAAAGAATAATTTAGAAATGATAATATGTCAGAAAGCCTCTTTATTGCCAGAAAGTCAACATCACTCAACATCACTGCAAAAGTCTATACATGGATTGCAAAGAAATTTATCTCCTTTACGTGAATTCTGTCTAACATGAAATTAATTATAATGGGAGTTCAGAAGATAAATTTTAATTTCGATCACATTCGTTATCAGAAGCGTTTTATTTAATTCAATGGTCTCAAACTGGTTACTTGCTGCCGGCGTGCGGCCCCGAGGCAATTTTGTGAGGCTCGCGAATACATTCCCCCCAAAATTAATTATCATCATATTGAAATTAATTATTATGGCAAGAATTTGAAGAAAGGCTTAAGATTTTAATGATTTTGAGTCCAATTGTACATCATTTTAATTACCATTAAAACAAATGCAAATAACGTCCCAGAAAATTAACATATATATCTATTTAATTTACACTATCTTATTTAAATATTTGAATATATAGATTTGATTGACCGTTTTTTTCGAACTTTTCAAAAGTCAAATGTCCTCAATTACGCATTTATGCAATAAAAATATATGCTTTCTTCGGAAATGCATATTATATGTGAAGAGATTTTCTTTCTAGTTGAAAATTAATAAGTGTAAAAATAGAACTACATCGACCGATGAGCACATTAAACTCCTGAAAATGGTAGTTTCTGATAATTTTTCTCCAAGAGTCACAAGCCCACCAGCGGCCGAGCGGTAAAGACGCTGAACACTGGTAGTTCGGTCTGAGGTTCGAATCCCGCGAACGGGCTGGCTGCATGGGCGTTTTCGTGGTTTTCCCCATGTGTAACGTGTATACGAGCCAGTTTCCCTTAGAAAGTCCTCCACGAAAGGCATCCCTCCCCTTAGGCAGATAGCCCTAGTGTGCTTTGCCATAATTAAATACACCACACCACACCACCAAGAGTCACAAACTTTATCAAAACCGAAATGTCATGAGATTTATCTCAAAGTTGAAGAAAGAAATAAAGAGGCTTGTAATTATTTATATACATATATATGTATTTTTTATGTGTGAGTCAAAGCAAAATTTAAGAAATAAAAGAAAGGTAATAAGTTATCATTATTTATTCCCAAGTTTTGTCTCACTTGGAAAGTTTTCATAATTTTTTTTTATTTTTAGTTAAAGTTAAAATTTAGTAGCTAATTCAACATATTCGCATTATTGGAAATAAATGACAATCTGAAAATTTGAATATTTAGCTATTAAAAAGATTGATTAGAAAGTGCAACAGAAGTTTCCGGCTGGTACCAACTTCTAGATTTCAAACAGGAAATAAATATAAATTGGAATTTTTTCCATTTCGTAATTATTGTTGCTATTTTTGTATCTTTTGATAAATATTAGCTAGTTTTCTTTAATTTATTTAAGAAAATTTGTTTTGTTTAAAAAGGTTTTTATTTTGTACCCCCCTTCTGGGAAAAAAAATAGGTCTATCATTAGCTCGGCATTTTTCCGCTTATATCCACTTTGAGTTTCAGACCACTGATATAATTCATTAGCTAATATGGCTATGCTTCATTTAATTGCTTCTATATGATTTGGATTTTGTTTTATTTTCAGTTTTTGTTTAATCTATTCACCATAATAATAGTAAGTATTAGAATTGTTGTCGAATTCAATAAAATTCCCAAATTAACGCCTAAGACGGATAGTGGGTATTTTTGCAGTATGAAGGACAAGAATATATCAAAAACCAAGTCGAATTTTCTTTATAATGAGAAATAAGTACCTGAGTATCTGATCCTATATATGGATAATATGCAAACTAAAAGAAAGGTTTTGAAATTTTATTTATCTGACTAAAAATCACCCAAATAATGAGAAATTTTTTTAAATCACAAAACTCATAAATTTCGATGGGATTTTTAAAAGGTACCAGAGTACCCAGTTATTGACTTTAACTGTATTCGCATTGGTCCGTTGACGCGAAATGCGGCAAAGCGTAAAAAACGCTTTTCCCGTACTTCAGTACGTTTACACCAGAGCGAAAATGTTTGCTCTAAAAGTTGTCATACGTGCATACCAAATGACTCTTCATATCGGAAACTTAAAGATTGTATTTTTGTGTGGTATTTTGGCTTCCTAAAGTTAAATTTTTTAATTAAAATGGATCTAATTTCTGACAGATCAAAATTAATTTTGTTTCTTGTTTTACATGGATAAGCAAAAAGTGGTGGGTTACATTACCATGAGAGATACGACTGCAGCAAGGATATGCAAATAATTTAATTCAGGAGATGTGATTGAATGGCATCGTAAGATTTTTCTAATTACTTTCGCATGGCGTCTCATCATTTCGGTGAATTTCTAGCCGTTGTAAAATCATTTATTCAAATCAGAACATTAATTTTTGTCGGAGCGTTTAGAATATAGATAAGGAATATCCCAAAAAAGGATTCTATATACCTGACTTTTTTATTTTTGAATTTTGTTGAATGATAAATTTAAAATTCTTAGTTGCATATTTCTACTTCAGAGAATGACTTTTCCGTGGTGTACAAGAATACAAAAATTGTTACATGATATATGTACTACCCTAAATAAAATTTGTTTACTTAAAATATTAAAAATTACATTTTGTTATAATGTGTGTAGGGTTTGCAGGGTTACCTAATAGCACATTAGGAAAAAAAAACAAAGCGGTTGAAAAATAGTTAAAAAATAGAGAAAATAAAAAAAATTAAAATTATTTTCTGTCATACACATATTATTTACTCTTAAAAGTAACTATAATTACACCAACTAGTCATTCATATATTAATGAAGATTCACTGTCTAAAGTTTTATGTTACACAGTCACTTTTGCTTAAAATCCAATGAAGTAACAGCATCTTATATAATATTTTTTTTCTGTTTTGAAAATTGAAACTCTAAAATTAATAAATTTGCTAATGATTATGCAAGTATTACTTAAAATAAAGAAATATTATCATCAAGATTAAACTTTTAGCATAGTTCTCAAAAAATTTGTGAAAAGAATTGTCATGCATTTTGAGGAAGGCAAACAGGGGACATTGAAATGCCTAGCAGTATTCCATAAAATCACCTCTAATCTATGGTTGAATTTTGTCTTCATCTAAATGTTACGTACTGACAAGCTTCCTTTCTGTAGAAATGAAATTTTGTAAACAAATAATTTATTGACTCTATTTGTTTCAAATTAATAAATTTCTAAATTTTTAAAATGAACAAGCGTGACCTCGAACAATTTGCTAGGTCCACCGAACAATTTGTGTATTCACTTTGCCCGTGTGTAGCCTTTATACAGATCGTCTCGTGAACTGTTTTAAACGCTCGTTGCTATAAGAAGGATAATTCACATAATGGCATCTGGAAAGTAAAATTCATGTTTGGAGTCCTTGAGTAATAAATGCAAATTCCTCGTGCCTTCCCTCCCAAAAAAAAAAAAAAAAAAAAAAAAAAAAGTCGCAGTAGGCAAATATTTGGTGTAGCAACAATTCTTGAGCAATGTAGAGTTAAGCAAAGCCAAAAATTCTTATATCTACTATCAAAAGAAACTTATTCTCAGCTCACTGCTGAATAAGCATCTGTGCTACTCTGAAGATAGAGATAAGCTTTTCAGTAAATACTTTTTTCCAAACACCAACTCCGTTACAACACCACACCTGATGGAGCTTAATGCATAATTTTTGCCTCTGAAGACCAATGCTTCATCCATTAGATAACAGGGCCCAATAAAAGCAATTTTAATTTGCTGTAGATTTTAAGTAAAGTTCAAAATCTGTGATTTCGAAATTAATCACTCTTTTCTCGCAATAACCTTTTGCTTTAGATTATTGTGCAAAAATTACCAATTATATCTCATTTAGATAATTATGGTCTATTACTCTGAACAAACTGGATAATTTTCTTTTAAATAGTTCATTTAATAACTGTATTAAATTATGCATTCCCAATTATTTATTAAGATATTTCATATTTCCCCCAAGAAGAATTTTTGAAAATATATTCATTAAAAACTATAGTAAAAACTGGGTATTTGAAACGAGATATCTGAAACTGATGCGGCCAGCGGCCAAAAAGTTGAAATCTGAGTCAACTCTCGCGGTCTTCGGTCATTCGGAAAATACCGCCTCTGAACTCGTTTCTGACTGATTACCGCTTTCCGCCCCAACGTGTGATCGCGTTGGTGTGAACTGGTCTTTTAAGAATAATTACGTCTTTAAATGCTTCGGTTTTTGTTTTTAATTCTAAGAATGTATTTTTCTTTAATTTAATACTCTTTTCACAACCACTCCTTACAACGGTCAATAGTAATTACACAGATTTCTAAAAATGCACTTGCTACCGATTTGCACTTTTCTTACATAACCAAGGAAAGCACTAAAGCCGATGGAATCAGTAAAATTGCACTGGGTAGAAGATTTTACGGGCGGTAAAATTTTGAAACTTCCAGACAGCAGAATATAGCAAATCAGAGATATCATCCGAGGCGTAAAACGCCAAGCGCCAGCCCTGCACGTAAAACGTTACTTTAATTAGGTGTTAACAAAATAGGATTCCTCTCGTTCGTTGATTTCCTTCGTAACAGAATTTTACTTTAAATAGTTATCCGTTATAAGAGCGATTCTCAACCGGTGGTACTCAAGAGAAAAATAGGTGGTACGCAATGAAACAAAGTACTTTTAACTATTACATAAAAAAATCATGAAGAAAAAGTTGATAGAAATAATTTCCCAACTGAAGATTTCAAAAATAACACATTTGTTAACTTTTGGCTGAACCGAAAAAAAGAATTTAAAGGCATTTTTAAAAGCTATCAAATTTTCATTGCCTTTTCGCACAACCTACTTGTGTGAACAATGATTTTCTTCCATGTTATATTTGAAAAAATAAATACAGAACAAAATTTAAACTGGATCCTATTTTACGATTAAAGCTAAGTGAAATAGGACTAGACATAAAGATACTGATCTCTCTTAAGAAGGCCCAAATTTCACACTAAATGTTAGAATTAAAATATTATAACTTAAACTTTGATAATTAAAATGATAAATATTTAATCTAATACTTTTTTAATGTTAACAAGTTTAATACAAGTAGCCTAGGTTATGCAAATGACAATATATATATATTTTAAATATTTCTAATCAGAAATTGAAAAATGATCATTGTAAAATATAGTGGTGGTACAAAGGTTTTTCAATTTTTGTTTAGATGGTAAGCGGTAGTCAAAAGGTTGAGAACCGCTGCGTTATATGATATAAAGAACATCGGTTAGGGAACACTCTCTTAGAAACTTATTTGTTCTCAGAAAATCTGGAGTAAATTCTTGAAAAGAATACAATATTACTAATAGTTGCTTAAATTTAAAATATGTTTAGAAAGCCTATTTTTAGGGTAGTAAGTTAAAGCAATAAGTTTACCTATCAAACGAGTAAGCAACGAAACCAATAACGAAAAGAAAGAAAAAAGAGAACGGAAATAAAAAGATATTATTTAAAAGAATAAAATGATTGCGATTATTTTACGACACGAAAGTAGCAACCCCATTTGGTGTTAAATGACAAGAAATAATTGAACAATGCTTCAATATGCAAGACATTATTAATTCTGAAGTTTAATTTAATGTAATTACAATTTATACTTTGAGTATTAAAATACCATCACTTACCCCAGCCAATAAGATAAAACCATTTCAGAAGTTTGTCGTCAGCAACAAAGGCTACGATGAGTAGTGTATGCAGATACAGACCTTCACAAAACATCCAGAGATAATTCGACACCAGAAAGTAATGAACAAGTACATGAAGAATTTGACAGGGAAGCTAGAGTAAGTAAAAAGAAAAGATATTGACAAACGAATACGCATACTTAAATTTAAATTTTCTGAATAATTTAAATTCCTAGGAATAATTGCACTTATTGAATTTTAATTATGCATGGATATACATGAAATAATTAAAATTGCTCTGAATAAATGCTCTTATGCATGAATGAACATATGATAATAAGAGCGATTCAGCTTAACGGTACTTTTTTTTAGTACAGAAAAACATACCTGTTTTTACAGTTCTGTGAACAATCGGCCTGTTTAAAAGGCTAGTGACGGAAATCATTTCAAATTATACAAATATTTATATAATGTATACTCAGTTTTAACTGAGAATAACTCAAAAATGATACAAGATTTTGCAATGTTGGTAATTTGGCAATATTGAACAAGAACATGGCAAAATTGATCCTCAGCAATTCTCATATTCTTCTTAATACTCTGGTAAATAGGTTGGTTTTTTGTTTCAGGGTTTGTTTGACGGTTTTCACATGTAATAAATTTCCAAAAGAAGAAATGGTAAGGATTCGAAATAAACAAATATAGAACTAAGCCCATTGATCCAGAAAAATGATTTAAATAGTATAAGCTACGGTATTTATATATATATATAAAAAAAAAAAAAAAAAAAACTGATCAACGATGCATGGAGAAAGGATATTATTCAATGCGATTGCAACTAATGTATTAACATTTCCTTTCAGTTCGATCGTGACCTGAAACATTGTTTCGAATTAGGGTATGTAATATGGAATGAGGGAATCTAACATTGGTCATAATTTGATCTTGTGGTTCTTGACCACATAAGCAATATTTCCGCTAGCGATTTATACCCACTTATAACTCTATCAAGGCAACCATCTTTCCAAGGCCAACGCTCTTGAAAGGGACCAGTGTTTCTAAGGGACATAAATGTCATCAGTACTAAGAATTATCATCGATGAGGCTGAAATTCGTTTGCAGTTTACCATTAACAATTTATCTGCGACATCAACACCCAAGCGAATCTCTTTAGATTTTTCCTGGTGATCTTTCACATCCCGAGGAAGTCATGATGCTATTTAGAAAGCTCTATTCATCAAGCTCTTCGAGTTATGCGTTTTGGCAAATGGGTGGAAAAATGGCTATAACTAGACTAGACCGCGAAGGTTTCAACAAGGTTTTTCTCTTGGTTTCTACTCGAGCATTCAACAAGTGTTTATGTATTACAACATAATAAACTGATTAAGCATCTGTAAGGAAACTATTATATTCAAATTTAAAATAAAAGCCACAGAATTATAATAAAATAAAATTGTAAAGATAATGTTTAATTTTTAAACAGTTATTTTTTTTTTTGTTTGTTAATCATCTTTTCTAGCTTTCTCATTTCAATTTTCCTGTAAGAATGTAAATTTCTAGCTTGTGTGACATTCAAATGAGGTAGAAAGGTAAAGAGAAGAGAATATTTAAACGAAGGTTTTGGAGACTAGAAGGAGAGCGTGCTCTGCCTGCTGAAGGCCACGTTTCTAATTTAATTTCCTTGCGAGTAGTATTCTGCAGCGTTGCGTTATTCTCGCCATTAAGCTTGTTACGCCGACCTTAGGTCAGAGCCAGATTACTCGTTATTTTGTTTGTGCAGCCATTAGCCTAACTTAATCTTTTTAGTTTTAATTCATCTGTTATTTTTTGTTTAAGCCATAATTACTGGCTTCTGTAAGCAGGAGTGGTGGGGTATGTTAATTTGAGTCGAATAAAAATATCCTTTTCACCTTTCTCTGTGGTATTTACAAGACATAGCGATAATTCGCTTTTAGTCTTAAGCGTTTCCAGTACATTGGATATTAACAAAGAATACAAGACTCTATAAAGTAAAATAATAATAAAAACTCAGTAATAAAAGTATAGAATGAATCACAACCAAATATTTTTAACAAATTTATCACAATATATAAAAATGTTTCGTTTCTCTCTTTTCTGAAACTGTAACAGAAAAATGGAAGAAAGAATTTCACTTCTTATGCTGGTTTAAGATGCTTACGATTAAAATTACTTTCATGTAAATTTTTATAGTGCCTGTACAGGGAATCAGTTTTACTACATATATGAAGCAAAAGACTAATCCAATAGCCACGACGATCGGTGTAATCACACAATTTTACTCCTGTTTCTGTAGTTTCAGAGCATAAGTTTTCGCTCAGAATGTTAAAGTTTTTACAGTAATTTTATTTATAGCGCTTAATTTTTTTTTCTTGGGTTTAAGAGCTGAAATATTTATTTTCTTTTCCTTGACGGTATTTTTCTTCATCATCTTACAGTTTTTAAGAACTTCACAGCATATAATAATTATAAAGCATAATTAAGTTTGGTTAGCATTTTCATGGCAAAGCGATCACACGGTGATTGATAAGCAATAAAGCATAATTATTGAACATAATCTGTTCGTCACATAAGCAAACGGTAATTTTAAATACTCAGAATTAATAGGTAGTGTTACGAAATGTACAGGCGCGGAAGGCAGGGTTGCCAGATTTAGCAAAAAATCGCCCATTATTTGGCGACAAACTTGGCGATATGCGATGGACGGTTGGAGAACTCTCTGAAACGAATTCTTACCGGTTTAGCCCAGAATGTTCTCGAACGCAAGCCGAAAGCCATATAAACCCTGCTGGTCAGCAGTCAGTTAGTGTGCCTCGTTTAGCGAGTTGATAATCAGTCATTGAGCGAGTGTCTCGAAGTCTAGCGCCGAGTTGGCCGTCGGTTGCATCGAGAGGTTGCATCGAGAGAGTGAGTGAGTGCACCGCTATGATGGCTTCCGACCACGGACATGAACCAAACGGAATTATATACCATCACAGCGGGGAAGACTCCAGAGTAACAAGGTTGAATATTATATACTAATAACAGTTTTTACATATTGATAATTGCAAGGCACTAAGCGTTATTCTGGTTATCTGCTTTAAGTTCTGAACATTTGAAACATTATAATATTATCCACGGTTGTTTCTGCTTAGGCAGTGTCTTGAGATTTTCTCTATTTTATCAAGGGCTATTCTGTTTTTGAGTGTGTTAGTCGTCACAATGCCCAGGCACAGTCCGATGGTTTCTTCAAGTGCCAGGTTCTTGTCGAGTTTTGTCTTCGAGTGTGCTGACTCGAGAGCTGTACTCTTGTGTATCGTTGAGTACATCGCGAATTGTTGCGTTTTTTTTCCTTGACGTTACGTACGGGGTTCGTGCGGCTTTGGAGTGAGTTGTTGCGTTTTTTACTTCCTTCACGTTCATACAGGGTTCGTAGATTTGGAGTGAATAACGACGACAGCACTTGATGGAATAGCGGAACACACTTTATTTAGCACATATTTATCAGGATAGCTCCAGTAACACGTTTACACAGTCGTTGAAGAACTACAATAAACACGCTGGAACAGTCAGCGACACAGCCTTCACACTATCAGGCAATAACGGTGGAAAGCTTCACTGCAAAGCACCAGAGTACAGCTCCCGACTCTGTTCAGTCGTTCTCGGAACTCCATGTACTCTCGACACTCTCCACACTACAATTCGCTATACACTCGACGACACACAGAGCACAGCTCCCGACTCTTCGGTTTAGTCGTCCCGGAGCTTAACACACTCTTTCGACAATGCACTAACCGCGATACACTAAGAGACTCTTCGATGCACTCGACGACCCACTCGGCACTCGCTGTCCGGCTGTCAACTCGATCGACTCCGCACGGACTGACTAACTCGAGACTATAACCATCTCGCACTCTCCGCGTACAAGCAGGGTTTATATAGTTTTTGGCTTGTGTTCGAGAACATTCTGGGCTAAACCCAGAATTCGTTCGTTCGAATTCGGTACGAATTCATTCCAGGCACGAATTCGTTCCAGAAGGTTCTCCATCCTTCCATGGCATATCGCATATTTTGTCTCCAAACGTCACCAAATGGGCGATTTCTCACCAAATGTGACAACCCTAAACCTCCTTTGCGGGGAAGCCATCTTACCGCGCCTGTACATTTCGTAACAGTAGCTATAATTTATAATGGTTTACTATGAAACTATTCAGCTGGACATTATTAATACTCCAATATTGTTTATTTCACATGTTTATGTTAAGAAAGCCGAGCTTTCAAAACGTTTTAAAATGTTTCGTGTAGGTTTATTGAATTATTCTCGTTACTTCTCCTTTCCGTTTTTCTCACCAAAATGTAAATGACATAGCTTTTCGACTAACTGTATTTGATTAACATTAAATGATATGTGAAACACTTGTATGGCAGATATCTGGATGAAATTAATACCGTATATGTAATCGGTCAGCATGAAATGCTAAATTAACAGGAAACTATAAATGTATTTCCTAAGTGTTGCATGAAGTGAATAATCAAACACGAACAGTTAACTTGTCTTCTTACCGATGAACAACCGGATAAGTCTTATTGAATTGAATCAAAATATATTGTTCTCTTTATTCCTTCTGTCAATTCTTTTCACTTTCAGATCTGTAACTGTACTTCCTCCGGAACACACAAGCTTCGGATTCCCGGAAGCTGTTTGGCGGCGTGGAATATTATTAAACTAAAAACGAAACTACACATTTCTCTGTTTCCTGAACATTTCTATTATATGAGCAAGTTCGCTTTTGAATATAAATTCTGAATCTGAATTTTTTTCAAAAGTTGCAGCACTATTCCAGCGGAACATTAAAAATATATGATTTATATTCAATCCACAACAGTACATTGTTAGAATAGAACGGTAGTTATCTGGATTGGTTGTATAGATTTCTAGCCCAAGTAAAGTTAAACTTGTTATTCATTTACTTACACATTTTATACTGAATTTTTATTGAAATAAGGAAAATAAAACCCGTAATACAGTTCAGCAGATAATATTTTTTAAAAACTATTAAATTAATTTAGATACTTGTGTACGAAAAAATAAACCTATAACGTTATAAGATTCTAATCTGTGTACTTTACAGTTAAAGTTGAAGAATCTTACAAACT